CTTGTACAAAACTTGGGCGGGATTAATCTCACCAGGTAGAGTACACCATTCGTCAATCAACTCGTTGGGTTCATTTAATTCATACCGGATAACAGCATCATCAGTAATTAGTTTGTCCTTCTTTAGCAAGTCCGTCCATAGCTTGGTATTATTGATGAGTTTGAACCACTTTTTGCACACTTGTGATACCGAGAGAAGCGCCTCAGCGCCAAGATTAGATAAAACCTTCTTTGAAATCTCTAATGCACGGCTACCATCGACTCTCCTTCTTTCTTTATCCAAACGATTTATATCGAAATACCCTGAAAACCTAACACAAAGTTTTTCAAAATGGGTATCATGCTCTAGAATAAAGTCGCCAGGATCAATACTACTATCATTCTGATGAGAGTGTGTGTTTCCTATTGCAGTTTGAGGTAATGGTATTTCCTCATCCTGAGCTTGCGAATGATCCACTTGAGGTTTAGGCTTCTTCGACACTACAGAAGGGTTCGAGCTAGGAGCAGGTTCTCTACTATCTCTAATGGGATCGCCTCCCTCGCGATCATCACCTTCACTTAAAGCTGGCCTTTTGAACATCTTGTGTTTTGATAGTTCAACAGGATTTTGACTGAGATTATGAAGTGTGATACGCGTAATTAAACTTTTCTGTGCCACGATTCGTAGATGTGACTTTAGAGTTAGGTCTGAGCACACAAGATATAGACGTAAAACCGGGGTTCTCCAACCATCAACACCAAGAAAAGAATCTAGTATGAATTCCAGTTCTAACTGAAAGGTCAATGGTCATGATTGCATCCCTAATAGTTCCAACCTTAATTGTAGTATCTCTCACATGGAGGCATAAGTCGTGTCTTACACATAAATCACTTTCATAGTATTTTATTAAAACACCGAGGAGAAAAGTTTAAATTGTGTCAAAAAAAAAGGTTCTCGTTCTATGATTTCATTTTCTCTCTTTTTGTTTTGTTTTTAATTCCACGGAAAAAATGTTTCTATACAGCATTTGATTGGCTCTCGGTAGTTTTATATATCATAGCCACATACAAAAAAATAGGGATAGAGTGAGTGAGAGTCATGAGTCAAATCCTACCAATTGAATTTTTTTTGTGGGGGAACTCTACACAAAGCATTAGCCGGGTCATAGTGGAAGGCTCAGATTTAGTTAGTATTCTTCCCCTTCACACCTTCTTATTTAAACCCTCCATCAATCAAATCAAAGGACCAACCCTTGTCCATTTCAAGTAAGTGGTCGACTGATGCAAACAAAAAAAAACCGTTAAGCTTAACCTCCTGTGTTTGTTTTCTCTTGAAGCAAACTGTCGACCCGGAGGAGCGGATGTACAACGCCGGTACTAAAGAATTAGAACAAAGGGCGCGAGTGCGAGAAGGTCGTGTATGGATGATTAAAACTGGGTTTCCCCAGACTAATTGAGAGAGTAGACAAATTAACACAAAACTCGCACAATTTTTCACATTTCAACTGAGAGAACCTTTCGATTAGTTTAGTTTAGTTGTTTGTTCCCGGGTAATAATATAACACAAGAGATGTTTATATATAAATACATTTTACCAAAAAAAATATTTGCCCAAAAACTTTTCAATTTCCATCACACTTTTCTTCTCTTCTCTTCTATTTTCATCAGCAGAAGACCTTGTTTTATATATATTCTATCTTATTTATTCATCAACAGTTGCATTCAACAGAACAGTAGCTGAAAATTGAAAAAAAAAGTTAACAAAATCTCCCCAACTCATACACACTTCTTACACAACAATTCACAATGGCTGCATCTACTGAAGTTAAAAAGCAAACCAAGAGAGGAGCAGTTGATTTCGTTGCTGGTGGTGTTGCCGGTTTATTCGAAGCATTATGTTGTCACCCATTGGACACAATCAAAGTTAGAATGCAGTTGTACAGAAAATCAGGTCAAAAGCCACCAGGATTTATCAAAACCGGTATTAACATTGTCCAAAAGGAAGGTTTCCTTTCGCTATACAAAGGTTTAGGTGCGGTTGTTATCGGAATCGTTCCTAAAATGGCCATTAGATTTTCGTCTTATGAATTTTACCGTACATTTTTCTACGACAAAGATGGTAAAATCACTGCTGGTCAAACTTTCCTTGCTGGTGTTGGTGCTGGTATAACTGAATCGGTTATGGTGGTTAATCCAATGGAGGTTGTTAAAATCAGATTACAAGCTCAACATCATTCAATGAAGGATCCTCTTGATATTCCAAAGTATAGAAACGCTCCTCATGCTGCTTATGTTATTGTTAAAGAAGAAGGTTTCAAGACTTTATACCGTGGTGTTTCATTGACTTGTGCTAGACAGGCTACCAACCAAGGTGTCAATTTCACTGTCTACTCTAAATTGAAGGAATACTTGCAAAAGAAACAAAACACCGAAATGTTGCCATCATGGCAAACCTCAGGAATTGGTTTGATCTCGGGTGCTTTAGGTCCATTGTCTAATGCTCCTTTAGATACTATAAAGACAAGATTACAAAAGTCCAGTTATGCTAGTAATGAAAGTGGTTTGGTTAGAATCATCAAGATTGGTAAGCAATTGATCAAAGAAGAAGGTGCTGCTGCGTTATATAAAGGTATCACACCAAGAATCATGAGAGTTGCTCCTGGTCAAGCCGTTACTTTTACCGTTTACGAATTCATCAAGGAATTATTGACTAAAGATTCAGTCTCCTTGACAGGTACAAACGATCAAAAGAAATTGAACTAGAAGGTGTTGCTTAGATAGAGAGATGTATATCATTATAACAAAAAATAAACCGTGTACATTATTGACTAGAACCGTAGAGCTTTGAATCAAATTTTTGATCTGATCTGGAATTCGAAATTTTTCAGATGCATCCGCTGTTCCGAGAAAGTATGGGGATGTAACACAAAAAGAAACTTGCAAGCGGACCCGATTTCGGAAGCGAGCCAATAGGACCTGCCAACATCCCGTGTTCAATACCATTCTCAACTAAGTTATAAGTTAAAAGATGGTTAGGAATTGATTATAGGAAAAAAAGGTTTGACATAACGAAGCAGAGTTTTCAACCGATATATACCCCAAGTTCTACTGAAACAAAAATAAAGAAATGACGTTTAATATAAAAAAAAAGACACTAAAACTAATAAAACTGAACGAATAACACCTCCAACGGGCCTCCAACGAGACTCCATCTAAAACAAAATCCACAAACATCCTCATTGTTTGACACTTGTAAAGTCCACTAATCATACAACACAAAGAACATTACAAAAATCAACAGTATGCTGCTCCACTTTCCCCTCACCTAATTCAAAAAGCTTCACCTTTGGCTCTATGTATCGAGAAAATATGTGATTGTACTGCATCTCCTCTTGCGAATGTCTTGCCACAATATTTACAACTAAATGGTTTTTCTCCAGTATGAATTCTGACATGAGTAGTCAATCTATACCTCTGGTTGAAAGAAGCCCCACAATGTTGACACACATAAGGACGCTCGCCAGTATGGATCCTAATATGTCTCGTCAAATCAGAAACTTTGGCAAATGCCTTGTTACAGCCTTCATAAGTACAATGGTGAGTTTTGGCTTGCTGTAATGCAGGGTCACGTTTTCTTCTCTGGCGAGGAATGGTAGTACTAGTTGTTGGCTGGTGTTGAGGATGTACTTGTCCATGTGCGTGAGCATTGGCAGTGGCTGCAGCTAAAACGGCTGCTTGTGCTGCTCCATTAGGATCATTAGGGTCAAAGATAGGAGCACCACCGCTCTGTTGCTCGTGATGCTGATGATGAGGTGATACACCAGCTCTACCATTATGCTCGGTATCAATGTGCTCCATTAACTTTTCGTAAGAAATGAATCCCTTGCCACATTTGAAGGCATTACAGTGGTGGACTCGAACGTCTTTTAAATCAACATGGGGTGGTTGTTTTGTTGGATCATTAGTGCCACCAGCAAACACATTGACATTGTCATCAACCACATGCGATTCAAACTGTTGTTGCAGGTGGTGTTGTGCCAACTGTTGTTGTAAATGATCTTGTTGTTGACGAGCATGCTGCTGCGCCAAGTCATGTTGCTGTTGTTGTTGTTGCAACAAATGTCTATGTTCAGCGTTGGTGTCCTCTGGCAAGTCCAAATTGGTAGTAGTATTGGGTGATGTAGTCTCGGAGTTAGATGTATTTGGCGCATTTTCTGCATGTGCAGCGGCGGCAGCGGCGGCGGCGGCAGCAGCAGCATCTTTCAAAGCTTCATCAACGACTAAATCATGGTGCACATGAGTTTCATGAATAGTCAAATTAGCCTTTTGGCTAAATTTTTTACCACAGGTAGCACATTCAAACTTTTTAGGTTGGGTATGCGTTCTTCTATGGTTCCTCTTATCAATAACATTCCTAAATTCTTGGTTACAAACTTCACAGTTTAACGAATTGGGATTATCAATGTCTTTAAAAATGGTTCTTGTTTGAGGACGTACGCCACCTGGACTAGTTTCGAGTCCCGATTCAGTTTTAGCTCTCTTGTTAGTGCTGTTGCTACCTTTTCTACCACGTTTAGCTGATGTATCATACTCTTCATCCCCAATATCAAAATATTCATCCTCATCCTCGTCCTCTTCATCGTCTTCTTCGCCAGCGGCAGGGGCAAAATCGTCATCTCTGCCACTATCATCGCCATCATCAACATCATCACCTGCATCATGTTGATGGTGTTCATCATATTCTAATTTGATTTTGGTAGCATCGTCTGCATGATTGGTAGTTGCGCCATGATTATTTGCATCTTGTTGTAACTGATTATTAAGCTCTTCGTCAATTTGTTTATTGATAGCATCTTCGTCGGCATTCTCTGTCTGTCTAATATTCTCCCTTATCGCAGCTCTTAACTCACGTCTTCTTGAAGCTAATGTCATGGTGTTGTGTCAACCGTTTGTGTGTGTATGTGTGTATGTATGTGTGTGTTGTTTGTTTTGTAATTGGTAGTTGTGATGTGTAAATTTATTGTTGTGACTTTCTGAGAGTTGGGAGGAAGAAAAAGTGCAAGAGAAAAAATTTTCGCTACCAATGAGTGACACTACCAATTGTGTGACAGTTATTTTGCGACAATAAAGTCTTTTTGTCCGTTTTCACACTACCATTTGGTAAAAATTATCTAGAGCATACTACAGATGTCAATTGAAAGGCAATTATATACAACAACACTGTCTACAGGCTGCTTTTCCTTTACAATAATACGAGTGCTATTAATTTAAATAAATAATCCATAATGAATCGTGTTATCAAGTGCAGGAATATATCTCGACAATTGCGTCCTCAATGGCGTCATCAATCACATCTTCATACATCGACCAAATTACAGCTACCTCGATTTTCAATAGGGCGTACAAGTCCTACTAATCGGACTAGAATCACCAAAGAAATCACTCCCGAGGAAGTGCAACAATTCCAGGAGGCGCAAGAACGGGCTAAACAACGTGGATCATTTGAGCAAGCTTCTGCGCCATACACTGATAATGACCAATTCCCGTCATACCAGTTCCACATTCCCAACAACACCAATGGAATTATAACTCCACAAGACCCCATCTACGATATCTTATCCGAACCTACTCTCGTAATCGAACGACAAATTGAATTTATGAATTTATTCATTGGGTTTGAACAAGCTAATAATTACACAATTATGAATTCTAGCGGTCAGCCAATTGGATTCATGAGGGAGAAGGATATAGGAATTGGTCGAACTTTAGGTCGTCAATTTTTCCGATTACACCGTCCTTTTGATATCGATGTTTTTAACATGCTGGGTGAATTAGCATTGAGTATCAAGCGTCCCTTTTCATTTATAAATTCTCATATTAAAGCACTATTGCCCGGTTATGACCATGACAATGAGATGATTTATGAAGTCGTTGGTGAAAGTGTACAAAGGTGGCATTTATGGAGACGAAAGTACAACTTGTTCAAATTGGAGGATGAAAAGACGGATAATTATGAACAATTTGGTGATATTGACGCTCCGTTTTTATCATTTGATTTCCCTATAAAGAATGAACACGGCAAAGTTATCGCTAGCGTTGATAGAAACTGGGTTGGTTTAGGTAGAGAAATGTTTACTGATACTGGGGTTTATATTTTACGATTTGATCCACAAAGTTTCCGAGGCATGGAAAATTATTATGGAGATATTAGTTCCAGTGGTGTTACAATGGATCAAAGAGCAGTGATATTGTCATGCTTTACCAGTATTGATTTTGATTACTTCTCGAGACATAGCAGTGGACATGGATTGTTTTCATTTGGGGGTAGTTACGACGATATATAGATAATATACTAGATTAGCCCCTCTTTATTGAACTGGCAATCGCTTCTTGTGTTTTGTTTCTGCCCTTTTGTAGCCAAGCTTCCCATTCTTGATCTGAGTTTTCCTTACTTAGATTCTTCAACAACTGTACAATTAACCCAGTATAGTCATGCTTTCTTAATTCGTTTTCCTGTTGCCATAACTCTCGTTTATCCAATTGCTTGGCGACTTCAACTTCATCCCCAGTAGTTCGTGCCTGTTCTAACTTGTTATTGGTTATTGCCAACAATGAAAATCTTAGTTCGCTTGCATCATATGCATTGATTCTGTTGTGTATTATACCAGGTAGTTTGTCAATAAATTCATCTTGGCTATGGCACTCACCATGTTTAATTGGAAATTGCTTCAATCCATCGAGTTCATAAATTTGGCCGTTTTTCATCACATAGCCAACAAAATGAAACAACCCATCATCTTTATCGTCGTAATCTTGAGATGGTGGTTTATCTTCTTGAGCAATCAATGAGGGAGTCAGGAAGGAATTATGTATACAGCGAATAAGTTCACTGTTGGATAGGGTTTCACCAATCATTTCCGAATCAAACCCCGTGACAAACAGTTTAAAATTGTTCAATTCCTCACCCAAGTTTGCATCGTCAACATTGAACAATACATTGAGAACTGCTTGTGTGGCACACGCATTTTGGATCATTTGGTTGGCAAAAAATAGCCCGTGATCTTGATAATCGGCATCGTATTCACCAGTTATAGGTTTATTCGATTTAGCATGCTCCCTGTCCTTTTTACCGTATTTGAATAAAAAGATTACACCATATATTGGCTGCAATACTCGTAACGAGTCTGAATCAATGGAGTATAAATCATTAAGCTCGACATTTGCCACTCCTAGTTTTTCAACAAGTTCAGTGAAAACACCCTATTTCTGTTAGTAAGTGAACACATAAACAATCGCAATATTCCATCAACATACTGCATCAGAATCTATAGTGTTCCAACCACTGTCTGACATTTTTAATGGGGGGTAATGCCGATCTGGACTGTGTCAAATTTCGTGTGGAAAAAAAAACACCGAACAATAATCAACAATCAACAATCTTTCCAACAACCCAAGTTCCGACACGTTCTTTATCTCCACCACAATACAGTAGTACAACCATCCCGAACATGACCAAATACGGTGCCCCTTACAGCGAGATTGCACAATTGTTCCAATCGAGCACACCCGTTGATAATTCAGCTATAACTATCACAACGACAATTTTCACAATTTTCTTACTACTTCTATCATTTGGTTCGTTATCGTTTACTCTACTTGGAGATATAAAAAAGAAGAGCATGATAAGTTATTTGATTAGTGCTATCGTTGCATCCTTGAGTATTGGATTCAGTGCTGTTTATGTCATGAACTATGTCGGTGTCTATATTTGAGTAAATTAGAATTGTATAGCCAATATATACCATTTTGATACATATAAATGTCATATCTTGAGAGGCCGCTCATTGTTGAATATGTTTCTCTGCAAATGTTTGACTCTGTTCTCTCTTTAAGCCATGGCGTCTCTATGGTAGTCCGTCGATTGGGACTTGATTCATATCGCGCTGGTGGATTTTTCTCGAAATATTTGCAACACGTCAACCTTTTTCACCTCATCGACAAACCATGTACCTCACCTATCTACTATCATTATTTCACATTTGTGTTCTAGTCACCGCCAGAGCCCAAGCAGATGAATACACAAATGATCCAAACATCTACGAGTTGACGGCTTCTAATTTTGATAAAGTGATACACGGCAGCAACTACACCTCAATTGTCAAATTTTATGCACCTTGGTGTGGATATTGTCAACAGTTGAAACCTGTATGGAGAAAGTTGGGGAAAGCCATAGGCAAGGATTCTAAATTAAGTGTCAATGTAGCTGCGGTAAACTGCGATAAAGATTACAATAAACCACTTTGCGCCCGGCATCAAATCAGTGGATTTCCCACGGTCATGGTATTTAGACCACCAAAGTATGACCAAACAAAGGCAAATAGTGGCAAGAAGCTGAGACATGCTAGTGAGGCTTATAATGGACAGCGGACAGTCAAGGCGATGCTGCAGTTCTTGGGCTCCAGGTTGAAAAACTATGTTAAAAAAGTGCATAATTTGGATAATGACTTGGTTAAGTGGATCAGTGAGGAATCTGGCAGAGGAAAAGTGCTTCTCATTGCAAAGTCTAATCTGATTAGCCCATTGTTGAAATCGTTGGCAATTGATTTTCTAACTAAAGTGGATTTTGCAATGTATGGGAAGTATAACGAAGGGATCAAGACAATTGAAATTGACGGAAAACAAGTGGATATTCCAAAGGCAGATTCATCGACTTTGCTCTATTTTGATAAACAAAAAGACAAGTTTATAGTCTACGATTCGACGGAGAAGTTAGATGACAAAAGTCAAATATCCAATTGGATCACTGCTGTTTCCAAAATCGACCCTGTTGAAGGGCCATTATCCAAACGAGGTAAGAAGTTGTTAAAGTACAAATCTAAAAAGAAAATCGAACACGATGAATTGTAAATAGAATAGTCTATCAAGCTTTACCTATATTATCCATCATTTCTAACAACGAGTCTATATCATCCACTTTCTTCTCCTCCTTTTGCTTCAACTCCTTGGGTTTACCATCACTTTGTATCCAATTCACTACCTGATCAATATATAATTTCGAATTAGGTACGAAATGCCCACCAGGATGTTTCAATAAATCAGACTTGTCCTTTGTGATATTGTACAACGACAAACTTCGGTCTTCAGCAACAACGGTGTCCAACTCCCCATAGACGTGCAAATACCTCAATTTACTATCCAGTGGAGATTCATAATACGCGTCGTATTTATCATTCCCTGACTTCTTGCTGGTATTCAATTTAAACCCCGAGTACAAGATGACAAATTTCAATGGCGTGGTGTCGAATAGTTCGCCAAACTTTTCCGCCACAAGTCCAGCAAATGAAGCACCTTGCGAAAATCCAACTAATCCAACTATAGGTAGTTTCTTATCTTCCTCGTCTTCTTTACTTGGCTCCCCATTTTCGTCGTCAGGAATAATCTCTCCTTGGTGGATATATCTCTTCAATGATTCAATCGAATCATCCATGTTTATTCCGTCGTTGGTCTTGCCCAACTTGACCCACCAGCCACGATAAGTAACATCGTCTTGATCAGATGAGCCAAATTTGGATAATGAATCTGTTGTAGGTAAGTCACTGGGAGTTAAGACGTACGGAGCATTCAAGTATTGGCATTTGTAACCTAACTTGATAATCTTTTTACGTAATGCTGAAGTCTTGGCATAAAATAGGGAGGCATTTTGAGTATAACCGTGTAAGAATAGTATCTTTCCTTTGTACGTTTGTTGTTTGCTTGTGGTCATCACTGAGTCGATGGGAGTCTTGCTGGTCTATGGAAGAAATTGTGGCTTCATCGCAGGAAAAAAAATTCGATTGCAAATACATTTCTTCAGGGTGTTTACAGAACAGGTTTACCAAACGGCAACAGGCATCGCAGAGATAGCATCCAAACTGGATGATGGTTCCATCAGAT